GGATAACTCAAGTGAAAACAAACTTTACAAGGGAGAGTTGATGTTTGAGGAAGAAAGACTTTCACACCCCCCTTTCTTTGCTTGCTGTTCAAACCTGATTTGGCCAAGACCTTGCAGAACCAGTTTGTAGTTTGCACATGGCATGTGGAGTCTGAGCGTTCTGCTTAAACATACTATAACCAACAATCTATACAGTAGCTACACACAAGTAACTGCCCTGACAAAATCTGACAGGAAATGGAATCACTTCCTGGTTTTAAAACAAAAGTGCTACTGGTGCCTGTGAATGATTATCATTTCTTCTGATCATGAGATGTTTACATGTGTATGCAAGCTATTAACAACTTAAAAAGTTATAGCAACAATGAATACAATAACAAATTACATTTGTAAAGCGCCTTTCACGTTGGGAGGATGTCCCAAGGAGCTAAACAGTCAGGGATTAGGACCCGAATGTGGGGGGTAGGGTTCTGATCAGGAAGGATGGAGGGCAGAGAAAGTAGGTGGGTGACAGAAGGCACGGTCGAAGAGGAGGGTCTTGAGTCGTCCCTTGAAGGAGGCAAATGAGGGAGTGGGGCAAAGGGAATGTGGGATGGAGTTCCAGAGGGTGGGGGTAGAGAGATTGAAGGCCTGATCGCTGATGGTGGGGCAGGCTGAGCCTGCTGAGCAGAGGGAGTGGACAGGTTGATAAGGGAATGTACCTTCAATGACCTTATCTTACTTGTGGGGAAATGTTTTGCCAATTCTTTTGAGGTCTAAAAGTAAAAATTAAACCTGCAAAGTTCTTACTTGATAAGCCGGGTTTCTGACTCATTGTTTGAATTAAGGTCTGGTGTTCCCCCATCAGTTTCCTGTTTTTAACCTGATACACCCAGGAAAAGAGTGGCAATTGGGAAAGTCTGAGCCCCAGATGTTGACTAGTTTTTGTGTCCATTACTAAAAAAATTATTTATCCTGGAAATGTGGAAGTTTTCAATACATAACTATAGAAAAACTAGCAGTAACAGCATAACACTAAATTCTGAATTACTTTTTTAAAAAATTATAAAATAGCAATTACTTGACAGTATATTACTTATATACATCTATTGTCACAAAACTGGCTCTTTAATATCATTAAGAAAGTCCACGACCACAGTATTTATGCAAATCGCACTGCCCCTCTCTGAAATCACAACAATTTGCCATCAGTATAAAACACAGCATTAGATAAACATATCAAAAATCTGACAAGGTTTAACTTTGTATCTCAGAGCCCAGATGGCTGCTATCTTTACAATAATTTTTCTTCTTTTATCTCAGTACAGTGACAGTAGCTAACTAATTTGCCAGAAACTATCAATAAAACCTCAAGTATATTTGTAAATAGCTCTGAACATAGTAATCCATTGTTGCACTTCACCTACTTTTGTAAATCTCTTTCAATAGCTGTTTGTTTCCAGTTCCACAGCTTATGTGCACATTACATTACTTTTTATTGCTGTTTTTTAAGTTTCCTGTAATGAGTTGTCATTTTCCAGCTCAACAGCAGTGGCTATTACTAATGTGGAAAATACTGAGGACACCCAGGGGGCCTTGAATGCACTGATGCTGTTGCAGAAAAATATTTACCCTGTGAGAATTGCACACTATGCTACCAAGTGGCCAGACCCTCAAGTGTCTACCAGAAGCTACCTCAAACTTTAGAGGTTCTTCACTGGCAGACAAGGGACACATTATAGCAATAAGGTACTTTTTACCTCCTCAAACCTCAGGCTTGCAAAGGAGGATATGTGCCTGCTGAGGCAGACTAGGGACCATGCCTATGCTAGTATTAATCTGCAACAACCAGAATTTCACTTATATACCGAGCCAGAAAACTATACATATTGGGCCTGCATGCTTGAATGCGCCAGGTGGCCTTTTTAAGTCAATCTGCTTTGCATGATAACTTCAGTTATCAGGAGAGGCTAGAGAAGCTAGGATTATTCTCCTTGGAGCAGAGAAGGTTAAGTGGAGACTTAATAGAAGTTTTCAAAATTATGAAGGGATTAAAAGAAAAGAAACAGAGGGGAGGTGAGGAGAAATTTTTTCACACAGTGAGTTGTTTGGATCTGGAATGCATTGCATGGAAGGGTGGTGGAAGCCGATTCAATAACAACTTCTAAGAGAGTAGATAATTATTCGGGGAGGACAAGTTTGCAAGGCTACGGGGAGAGCGCGGGAGAGTGGGATTGATTTGGATAGCTCTATTCAAAGAGCAGGCATAGACACGATGGGCCGAATGGCCTCCTTCTGTGCTGTATAATTCTATGATTCTATGATTCATACTGTCGTGAAATCAAAACCCTCTTCCTCTAGAGTGAAGTTTACAAGATCGGAAGCGATGAAGAATGAATTTAGCCTATTTGATCTCATGCTTACAGAATGACCAGCCTACCATGTTTCTATTACAACATGAAGCTCTTAACTGAGTCCAATGCTCTGGCTTCAGTCAGCTACTTGAAAAACCATTTCAAGTCGATAACTACCTTGTGTGTAAAGAAATACTTCCTGATGTCAGCTCTAAAATTATTCTTCACAGCCTGCTATTGTGCCTTCTTGTGCTGTTGCCTTGATCTTTTGAACATGTGGAGATTTGCAGCCAATCTTGATCCATTGTTTGCGTTCACAAAAACACATTATTTTTTGATTAGAAGTTGCTGGATAGTGATAAGGAACAGGAATCCTGCCTTGCCTTTGCTTAATCCAGCATAACAAGGGCTAATTGTAGAATCCAAACTGCTGCTTCATCTGAGTTTAGCTAACTCAGAATAAACTCTGAATAAAATCTATGATCTTCTAGACTGTGTGGCTTAGGGCTAGCCTAGGCAGCATTTATACACACTAGTTTATTGAGGAAACCTCTACAGTGTTCTAAGAACATTTATTCTTCTTACTCAAATCTTCAATATATTTTTGTCCTCTGCAGTGCTAGTTCATATGTATAGAGGGCTCATCCCCACCTTACAGAAACACTGTCGCTGCATCTGAAATGTTCAATCCAATTTGACAGTTAGTTTTCCTGTGTTTCTGACAACATTTGATTATTCCTATAGAGGATGTCGTGATTGGTGCCAGTTGTGAAAAGCATAATTATGTCAATAGCTTCCAAATGTGAAGATCACAGCAGCTCCAGGGAACTCAACTTGCTGCTGTGGAGACTGCCATGTTGGATCTTAGAATTTCTAGTTATTTGGTGCATGACCCCACACACACCCCACAGTCCACAGACACAAGCTGCACTAATGAGCATGAACAACAGGTCGGTGGTGTTACAAAGACAATGGGGTATTTGTGAGAGATGTGGGGGTGGGGTGGAAGAAAGAAAGTTTTAATAGAAATTAAGAAGCCGAAGAGTGCAAAATGAAAAAGATAACAATCACTGAGAATGATTGAAAGTGAATTCAGTTACTCGACTCCACAAATATAAGAAAATCTAGCTGCAGTCACTGGAAATGATATTAAAATCAAAGACTGATTAAAAGTAAAGCTTACGTATCAAATAAAGATGCAAGAAAACAAAGTGAATCAGTCATGCAAGCACAAACAAGTCCAATTTAATAAAAGGAAAAATGACAGAAAAGGGACTAAACCAAGGACAACATTTTCTTAAAAGTAAAAAAAACTTGCAGAAATTAAACAAGTGAAATAAGATGAAAGTGAATTTTACCCAGCAGAATAAGGAGGAAAAATGAGCCATGGTAGACACAGAAAATAAAAGATTTTTTTTTGGCGGGGAAGGGGTAATTTAGGAGGCAGTTTGTTTTGGGCCCTCATTTCATTGTTCAGATATAATGGCACCTCCCTACCTACCTCTCCGACCTTTTCACTCCTCAATCCACCCCCTGGCGCCTCCGCTTGACTGGCACCGGCCTCCTGCTTGTCCCTCACACCCTCACCTCCACCATTGGAGGTCGCACATTCAGCCACTCTGCCCTGAAACTCTGGAACATTCTCCCTCAATCCCTCTGCCTTGCCTCCTCTTTCCCCTTTTTCAAGTCCTGCTTGAAAACCTTCCTTTTCAACAGTCACCTCCCCCCTCCTCCCACCGAGCTCGGAGTCAGGCTCCGCCACTGTTAAGTGCTCTGCGTGGAGGGCGCTATGTAAGTGCAAGTTGCTGTTGTTATGATGCCACAGTTTACTTTCAGGAAACCATCAGAATGTTATGAATACCTAAATAACAGTAACAAAACACTCCATATCATAAGGACATTTAATAGTTTGATTGGTTCAATTTGTGTTCTGAGCAGAATGAATTCACAGTGATAATAAAGATAAACAATAATCTTTGGATTTGATATAGCCCTGTCGAAATGTTTTAAAATGGTTAGACAGGATTTACTGAAAAGTGTTGCGTATTTGAAACACCAGCTATATACAGTATTTGAAATACTGTATTATTTACTTAAAAAATTAGATTTCCAACCAGAATGATATAAATAGTTTATTTATTATAAATTATAAATAGTTTTTTTTAAAAATGTTAATTTATTATATAGTTCAGTGCTGCAAAGTGCAAGATTTTGCAAAACTTCCCAAGTAGGACATTTGGCCCACTGTTTGCCTAATACTGTTCTTTGCTCGTTGATGGCACATTTTGGTATAGGCCTTGCCAACTGGCCTAGGGGAAGAAGCATACGAGGGAAAACTAATCATTACATTTTAATATCAATTGTAAAGGACAACCTTAAAGTATATGAATCATTCAATTGTATGTCTGTGCCTGACACGGTCTTTTAGAAACCTTTTTTTGAATATAATAAAACCTACCAAGATGCAATTAAATGTATGATATTGCCTTGGTTGTCTTTTGAGTTACCTTACACTTGTACCTCAGTTAATTTACTATGCTGGTTACATTTCTGGTAATGTATTATTTGCACACTGTCTCACAAAAAAACACTTGTATATTTAATATGCTTCTTTTAAAGTATATGCTTTCTCTTTGAATCTTCACAGACAATCATTCTTTTTTTCAGAAGCCTTGTGAAGACATTCAGAGGTTATGGGTCTGTGCAATGTTACTGTGCCTATCATGGACAAACCAACCGCAAGTATGTTCCTCGCAGGGCAGTCCTTTATGTACCAGGAAACGATGAACGGAAAATGCGCAAGATTACCAGCCTCCATGTAGACTGTGCAGTCCTTGACTGTGAAGATGGAGTTGCGTTAACTAAAAAGGTACTGTACAGTATATACAAACAATTAAGTAAGCACATGATGACACATAATAACAGAATTTCATAAATTGTTGGTTTGATTCTTATTTCCATATTATAATATAAAAAGCTTGCATTTTTATATAACCTACAAATACACCATTACTACACTTCACAGTAAAATCCTATGAAAAGCTTTGAGATATCTCAACGATGTGACAAGGCACTATATCAAAATGGAAAGATTTATTATGGTGTCTTTCACATTGGGAGGACATCTTAAAGCGCTTCACAAGAGTTACTGTAAACCAAATTATCTGCATGTTTTGTATGCAAATGTGGCAGACACAAAATACAGGTTTAGTGCTTCCATTGGCAACCCATTTTAATCTAAATGTAGACAGTGGATTGAATAAGGCCTAGTCTGTTTGCCTCAACATTATAACATACAATAAATTTATCTGATGAGCTATTGAAGAAGCAGAGGGATTGTTTCGATAGTATTGTAATTTCCAAAAGTTGCTTTCTTGCCGTGAACATTTCATTTTCTTGTCTATGAAGATTCAAAGAGAAAGTATTAATTTATTTACAGCCATTTCTAATTTATTATGTTTAAAAGTCTGATACATTCTTATTTTAATTGCATAGAATTTAGAACAGCAATTTCAATTGCTGTTCCTTTTCTGCAATATAAACAGTATCATTTATTACTTGAAATTAACATTTTAAGATTTGTATGTGAATGCAATGAGATCTGGCACACATTGATTGCTAAGAAACCTGTTTTTAGTTATTTTGATAAACGTACTGTTTCTTAAGCTATGCTTACTAAAAAGGAGTTGTGCCATACTGTCAGGTTCCCTCAACTTGCCTTTCACGGAATAGTTAACAGAGAAGAATATAACACATATGCGTCTAAAATTTAAGCCAAAATCCATTATAATAGACGTTGCACTGTCTAAACTAATTTTACAAAATCAGTTGTTGTTGGAAAAGCATTGAAACTCCCACAAGGATTCATCGAGCAAGGGTACTCCCTGGACTGAAACAGAGCTATACAAACATATGTACATACTAACTTTCTAAGCCAGTCAGCCAGCCCTGTGAAATGCTTTGAGATATCCTCCTGACATGAAACGTGCTATATAAGTGTAAAACTGGTGGTGTTATGCACATTTACATAAAGTAGGAAAGGGATTATCCTTGGTTGTGCTACCCTCCAAGAAAGATATACCCGAGCCAAGGATAATGCTTGTTTTTAATTGTAGTCCTTATCTTTCAAAAATGTTGTTGTATTTGTAAATAACAATCATCGACTGCAGCATGCATAGATGTATTTTCACCTGCCTTTATTAATTCATAATGAATTTACAGGGTTGCCACAAAATCCACTATTTTATAAATTATTTTGTCAACTTTAATTTTGATGTTTGAATAAGCTGGATTCTGCTGAATTCAATTATTTGGGCTATGCATTCAGCAGTCAAAAGGAACTAAGTCGTTTATATTATGCAGGAAGAAGCATGGCTGATAATTCCTCTAAAGTTTCTTAAAGATAGAGGTTGTTATGTGTTTATCCTTTTTGCCAAGACAACCCACCATGGAACATGGAGTATTCATAGTGTCCAAAGAATGGGGACTGAGCTCACAGTGCATTACTGTATTGTTCTTTCAATACTAAAAGCTGGGTCATATCATGGTCAGCCGAAGTCCTAAAGTTTTAACACTGCCAGGCATAATAATCTCACAACAACAACAATGTGAAGTTATATAGCGTGGGGCGGAGGGTGCGAGGGACGAACAGGAAGCCGGTGCCAGTTGAGCGAAGGCACCAGGTGGTGGATTGGGGAGTGAGGAGGTAGGGAGGTACCAGGGAGTGAAGGGATATCAACACGAGTGTGAGGATCTTGAAGTCGATCCATTCGTTAATGGGGAGCAGTGGAGCCTGGCCAGAACTGGTGAGATGTGGTTACGGAGTTTGGTCGGGGCCAGTATGCAGGCGGCAGAGTTTTGAATGAGCTGGATCTTTTGAATGGTGGAGCTGGGGAGACCTACGAAGTGTGCATTTCAGTAATCCAGGCGGGAAGTGACAAACGCATGCATGAGGGTTTCAGCCACAGTTGGGGTAAGCCCAGGGAGGTTGAGGAGTTCAGATCCGCAGGAGTGAAGACGTTGAAGGGAGCCAAGGAGTGTAAGGAATGGGGAGTGGCAGGAGCTGTGGCGGAGGGAGAAAGGGGTATGGATGGCCTGGATGGGGTGGAAGGGGATTGCTTGCCAATACGTTCAAACAATTTGACTGGGTCTTCCCTTATTTGTTTTACAGTCTCTTTTTCACACATCCTTCAGCAATTTACCATGAGGAATTTTGATTCCTTTGATTTCGCCCACAAATATATGGTCAATTCACTTTACAGTCTATTCTATGAAGCGCTTTGAGACATCGAGAAGACATGAAAAGCGCTATATCAAATGCAAGGATTATTATTATATTATTATTAGTGATCTTCAGTGCCTAAATTTATTTTCCCCTCCCATTTTCTTCCTTTCTTAAAGATGCTAACTGAGAGTGTAAGGTTCTGGAGACTTTTCTTCAGTTGTGAACTTTAACAGTGAACAATGCAACTATGGGGGCATCAGAGCCAAACTAATCCTGACCTGACCAGAAGACTGAAAAGTCTCAGTGTTGAGAGTAGTGAAATTGATGATTGTGGCTTTTAACAGAATTTTGCCATTAAAATTGCATATTGTCATTGTCCCTAATCTAATGCCGAAAGGAATTTAAGTCTTCTGTTGCCCACACATGTCCACAATCAGCTGGGATCACCATAATGTATTTACTTTAAACTATATTTATAGAGAATGGTAGTGCACACAAAATGCAAAGTGACAATATGTACAATATGTCCTGTGAAGCGCTTTGGGACATCCTCCTGTCATCCTCCTGTCATGAGAGCCGCTATACAAATGTAAGGGTGATTGCTATGTTAAATATTTCCAATATTAAAAGCATCAGACAAGTTTGCAGCCGGTCTTCATTATGTACAATCTTCAATTGTCATTGATTAGCTGATTACTATAGATGTATGGAATGCACTCCTGAATAAGCCCGACTGCAGAATTAAAGTGAGCTGCACCCTGTACCACAGTCTTAGCCCCTTTGTAACTGTATTTCCAACAGACTGAATTCAAGATCTTAGTCTCCAAGGATGCATCTCACTAAGCCAGTCCAGAACCTTGGCGTCTTGTTTGACCCTCAACTACCCTTTCTACCACACATCCGTGCAATGACCCGCTCTGCCTTCCCCGACCTCCGCAACATCGCCTGCTCTGCCACTGTCTCACACCGCAGGCTACCAAAATCCTCATATATGCTTTCATTGCATCCAGGCTTGACTATGAAAACTCCCTGCTTGTCGGCCTCCCCAACTCCTCCCTCCATAGGATGCAGATCATCCAGAATTCTGCAGCCTGCATCCTTTCCCGCACCAGGCTTCACGACCCTATCACCCCCATCCTCACCTGACTCCACTGGCTTCCCACTAATCTCCACTTTAAGCCTTTCATTCAGTCTTTGACCACCTCTGCAATATTGCTTGCCTTCATCCTTACCTCAGCCCAATGCATTCAAAAACCTTATCCATGGCTTTTTCACATCCAGTCTTTATCATTCCAATACCCTGCTTGCCTGTCTCCCCAGGTCAACCTTCCACAAGTTATAGCCCAGTGGTAGCAAACCTGTAGCCTGTGGGCTAGAAGTGCCCTGATGGGGCCATCAAGAAGCGGCTCCCTGAATATTTGCATGTGTCTAGGTGAATCCGTGTTTTATCAGTCAGGTGTTTCAGTTTTTTTCTTGATTGAATATTTCTTGATTTATGGCATAAATCAAGAAATATTCAATTAAGAGAGTTTATTTTGTTGGCGTCCGTAAAGGTTGGCCACCACTTCTATGGATGATCCTGAACTTCACAACCTGTATCCTCTCCCACACCAAGCACCGCAGGACCATCACCCCCAATCTTGCCGAGCTCCCTATAACCCAGCAAACTGAGTTCAGGATCCTCATTCCAACTCTCAAATCCTTCACACTTTTGCTCCCACCTGACTTCTGTGATCTCCTGTTGTTTTACTGGCATCATAGAAGAGCTGAATCTTTTCTTTAGCCAACATCCATCTTTCAACAGAGGTCACTGGATCAAAACTGGGAACCTTGACTGATATTGCCCTCCCTCTCCCAGGGATGCTATAGCCAATTATAGCATCACAACCACTGTACTGACAGATTAGCTAACTCAGAACAAACCAAGATTCAAACCTGCTATCTTCATGCATATGGCTTTCGTCATTAGAAGCATTATTAAGTCATGAGAGGGGTTTTACAGAGGTAGAATTAAAATTTTAGGATTTCCCCAATGGTCTAATAGATAAAGTACTCCCATTGCAGCAATGAACCATAAAACCAAAAGCCTAATCTGTGCTGATTTTAGCTGGCAGTAGTTAGGAATGCTACAGTTGGATTAACAAAGGGGGAAATCAACAAGGTTTCCTGCTCTGGATAGCGAGCTAAGTTCCTGCTCTGTAAATGTATATATGAGGACATGAGGTGAGGCCAACATTGAGCTGTGATGCTCCCAAGGTCAAATAGCCAGGTGACATGTACATGAACAATAGTCCATTTGGGCAAGATATTAAAAGGTGAATGCACTGTTTGAATCATTCCCTGACAAACAGTCTGTATCAGGAAAACAGAGTATGGGTGGAAATTGAGGAAATAATTGGCAAGAGAATTAAATATTTTCAGTGAGTTAAAATATTTTGTAGTTACTTTTGTTGCTAAATTTGAGCAGAAAATAAATTCAACTCTTCAGAGGATTTTCGTGGACGGATTTGCAATTTTTAGTGAGATACAGTCACTCACCAGCTCCCCTTAATTCAAAGCTTTGATTTTTTTTATTTCGAGGATGCATGCAGGTTTACAAATTTTGATTTGTGATTTGCTTTGTGAAAGAAGGTGATATCCTCTCG